AGAGAGAGAGAGAGAGAGAGAGAGAGAGAGAGAGAGAGAGAGAGAGAGAGAGAGAGAGAGAGAGAGAGAGGCATACACAAATGGATTGGTGGGAGAAGGAGAGTGAAGAGGGGCGCGTGAGAATTGGGGAAAGGAGGGGAGAGAAGGGCAGCAGAAGCCACAGTAGGACGGGGGGAGGAAATAATTTGAAGAGGCGCAGAGTGATAGCGCGGGTGGAGTTGGAAGAAGAGGAGGAGGGGGCGCATGGCACAACGTCATGGGAGGGAAGGGAGAGTCGAGGGGTAAGGATGGTACAGTGGCAAAGTGGAAGAGTGGGAGGGATAGCGGTACATGTCATGGATGGGGAAAAGATGGGGGGATGGGCAATGGGGCAGGGCTAAGGTGGAGTGTGGAAGGCCCGGAATCGCGCCGCGTGGCAGCGCCACGAGGAGGGATTTTTTCTCTATTTCTTTTTTTTTCCCCTTGTGTGCTTGTGTGTGTGCGTGAGTGTGTGTGTGTGTGTGTGTGTGTGTGTGTGTGTGTGTGTGAGAGAGAGAGAGAGAGAGAGAGAGAGAGAGAGAAGGGGGGCGACTGTGCCAAGCTGTCCATTATGTGACTCTGACACGTGCTACGTCGTTTCTTCTTTGCCTTTTGCATTCCAGGAAATCTTCCAAGATGCACGCCCGGCATTATGGCTCTCATGTCAATGCTACTCCCGACGAGTCCACCACCATGCGAAGAGCAACTGGCAAGCAGATTGAATGCTGCTGATTGTTTCATTCATACAATGCAAAACCTGCTTAACATCAGTGTGACTCCTATTGTTGTTGGAGGCGCCTTCCAACAACTTCCCCGCGCCAATCGTCAATGACATCATCCGACCCCACCAAACTGAGACTCACCCACACGCGCATGCACTTGCAGACATAGCGTCAAAACTCAACAAGTAAGCACACTTCATACATGCAAGATCGGTTGATCACAAACATATCCAGAGAACGCAGCAAACAAATTCTGAATCTGAATCTTTAGCAAAAACATCCACGGGACAACAGAGAGGATTTTGACATTTTGTCAGAAACATTTAGAGTTCGTGCGCAGCACAAAACAAAAACGATGCTGCAAAGATAAAGAAAAAAAAAGGCTCCCCAAACCAAACACTCAAAGATAAAGAAAAAAAAAAAGGCTCGGTGGTATTCCCTCCTATTTTATTGCACGCGGGTTTTCGTCCGCTCCTCAGGCTCTTCTTTTTCTTACTTATTGGGAAAGAAGCCGCATATGATAGGGCAGTTCCTTATGCTTTTTCTTTCTTTTGTGCTTTTTTCCTTTTCTGTTTTTGCGGGCGAAGCCTCAACGGGTCATCTAGTCAATGTAAAACACTTCCAACTCATTGAAAATTTTTCCAATTAATGGCAAAAAAAAATGGGGGCAAATAGTCTGTGTGATTGGGCGAGCTTTTCCGAAATCAATCGCCATGGCCATTGGGGTGTTTTTCTTTTCTCCAAGTGATGGAAAGGTTAATTAATTGGAAAGAGAAAAGACTCAAAAACATGGAATGGTAGTGTTCATTTTGCTTCACATTTCTAGGCCTCCGTTGAGTTTTTTTTTTGTCTTTTGTTTTGTGATTTGTGGAGAAATTTTTTTTTTTTTTTTTTCCCCCCCCCCCCCCCCCCTCCTCCCGCCGCTTAGCTCGGTCCCTGTTTTTCAATTTGGTTTTATTTTGGCAAACACAAGAGAAAACGTACACAACGGAGACCAGAAAACGAACTCAGAATCAAACAAAAAGCTAGTGCTGAGACCCCATTCCCGAACAAATTCCAACTTACAGGCTGTCGACTTCGCTGTGACGACAGCTGATGTGGCGTAAATGATATGTCGGAGAAACGACTACCAGCCGACCCACTATAGAATGTCTTGAAGATCCAAGAAAGATCACGTGATGGCAGTCTGTTGAGGTCCGTTATCTGTTGCTGCACAACTCTCACATTTGCCTTGAAGATAACACAAGTTTGATGCAGCTTGACCATCTCACAATACGTGGTGCTGCTGTATGGCTGTCATATGTTGTCTTGGGCGTCTGACAAACAAAGCTCACGGACCCACAGCTGTAAGGTGCATCTTACTCCTTTCACCAGGTAATTTTGAATAGCTGCGAATCGATTTGGAGGAATGAAATTTCAATTGGTCAGCCGTCAAACCAAATTGGTCATCTCGAATTTCCTATTTAGCCCATCATTATCCAAACCGATATACGCAGCAGGTAGAGGTCAGGAGAAATGACGATCATTTGGACACAAAGATTTAACAGTTTGGGCGCTTGATCTTGTCAGCCCACACGATTTAACAAATTAGTATTGCCAATTCCCGATTTTGTCCAAAGATCGACCGATACATAGACCAGTTGGACGGGTGAAAATATCAAATTAGCGAGAAGCAGTTTCACATGTTTGTTATTCAGAATCATGAGCCTGCTCGTCCCGTAGACTGTACGATCTAGAACCTCGGCTCGAATAGCTTGCTGAAGTTTCGCGTCAACTGTCTAATCCATCCTTGGCACATATCGGCAGTGATTACCAAAGGACCCCAGACACGTGGGTGGATGCTCGACAGGATGAAGCACACAGGTGAGAGCAGTATGCTGCACATGAACGCACAAAATGCAAGGCACGTGGGTGGAAGCTCGACAGGACGAAGAACACAGGTGAGACCAGCAAGCATGTGAGAGCAGGTCGCACATGAGAGCCGGACGCAGGTGAGAGAAGATAGGCTAGAGCACGCAGGTGAAAGCATGCAAGGGAGAGTACATGATGCTCGCAGCACGCAGCTGAGAGCAGGATGCACAATTTTCTGTGGGCCCGACTAATTTATGCTTTCGACGGTCTAAATTGCTCCGTGGCTTGATGTAGTGCATAGTGAGCCCGTGCAACCTACTAGAACACCTGTCCATATTGGTTGAGTAGATGTGCAACCTATTAGAACACCTGTCCATATCGGTTCAGTAGATGTGCAACCTACTGGAACACCTGTCCATATCGGTTCACTAGATGCCCAATTCTATTCTACCCGTCCAAGAAGCTTCTACAATCCTCTAAATCGCGTCGGGGTTTCCCTAACTTATGTGCGTTTTTCGAAATTGAAAACAAAACAACACAAAACAGTACGATCTTGATTTTGGCGGGAGGCCGGTAGGCCTTGCCCATTTCGGTTCGCATATGACCAAAGAGCGGCAATAAGTATCTAATTTACCTGGTCAAAGGAGTAGTAAACTTTAGAGAAGTGCGTGTGGCCAGGTGGACTCGGTAGATTCACTGAGCAACCATGGTTAACTCCTGGATCACCATGAGGTGCAGCACGGCTGGAAGTCTGGCAACAGCTATTACCAGCACTGTGGTTGTCAGGTGTGAAGAAGAAATTAGCTCTGTCACTGACTGACCCAGTAGTATTGACTCCTATGACCAACCATGGTTAGCTCCTGGATGACCACGAGGTGCGGCACGGCTGGAAGTGTCGGGTGTGAAGAAGAAATTGGCTCTGTCACCGACTGACCCAATAATATCTGCATCGTCGTTTCATTGGTTGATCTCCTGCTGTCTGACAGTGGGCGTTGACATTGTCTCTTGACTTTTGGCCGTTGATGCAGATCATCGATTTTGTCGTTGGTTTGGCTGTTCATTCTGGGTTGTGTGATGTAAGGGGGTTTCTCTCACGGTTGTATGGAGAGGACAGTGTATCGATTGTTCATTTGGCTTTTCATTTGAGTGCCGATGTGGGAGTTATTTTGGACCATTATTTTGGAAATTGATCCTACAGAGTCTGCAGTGCGTTTTTGGTCGTTCTTATGGAAGTCAAAGTGGCCGTGCTCCACTGCTAACCAAATGTGCAAAATGAGAATGAATCTTCTGCTAGAGCATGGGATGATACACCGCCATCTTTTTTAGCTTTTGTGTATCTGGAGAGTAGAGGAGCGAGGCCCAAAGCGGGCTTCAATCCGGGAGTAGAGCCTTGACCGTGGTGTCAATGTTTCTGTGTGTAGGTAGCACCTGTGGGTAGCTTATGGTGCCGTTGCAGTGGCAGTGCTGTTGAGGACGGAAAGGTATGTTTTGGAAACTGTGCAAGAAAATTCTCACCTTTTGCGCTGGAGCCTGGATGGCAATTATGTTTGTTTTTTTTTTTTTTTTTTTTTGACATGATAACCAGACAATGTGCAAGTAATTAGTGCACCTTATTCATAATAACTGTCTTTCAACATAACGACACACTTTGTGCCGTTCACCACATATCCACTGTATTCAAATTTACAGAGACAAGGTGAGTTTTGCGTTGAATGGCAATTATGTTTATTTATTTATTTATTTATTTTGGACATAACAACCAAACAATTTCGAGCAATTAGTGCACCTTATGCAGAACTGTCTTGCAATATAACAGCACACTTTATGTGTGCCGTTCATCACATATCTGTTGTATTCAAATTTACGGAGATGAAATGGTTTTCACCTTTTGCAGACACAGACCCAGGGTTCGATCCATAGACCTCACCTTATCTTACCTTACCTGTGTACAGTATCGAGTCGACCCTGTGAGTCTTGAACCGGTGACCTGTGTGTTAGTAGTTGAAGTTGTCTGTCGTAGGTCTGAGTAGTTGTAGGGTCTTGAAGCTTAGACCTGTCAAAGTAGGGGTTACGCCTGCATAGGGGTCGTAGTTGTTGAAGTTCTGAAAGGTCAAGGTCGTAGCTGCTACAGTCCTGAAAGGTCAAGGTCGTAGCTGCTACAGTCTTGAAAGGCCAAGTCCGCAAACTTCCGGAAGGACTGGGAGTGGCCTTTCAAGTTCTTCTCACGTTTTATACTCAGACCAGAGGCAAGTGGGCAAGTGGTGGAGTCCCAACTTCGCTTAGTCAGTGGTACCCAATCCCAGTCTCACTTTGCACAGTCAGCAAGTACCATGAGGGACTGTGTGCACCATGGGCCCGGTGGAAAAAGGGGCAGACCAACGACTTACAGAAGTATAAATCAAGAGGCAGCGCCCAGCCATTCATTCATTCGCTGTGTAAGCCATGCGGAAGCGCTGCCCCAGCGTCTTGTGCGAGGTGGTCTGCAGGTCGCTCGGAGGCGAAGTGGGCTGAAGGAAGATAACATAGCCATAGCCAGTAGTAGTAGTTGAGCGGCCATAGCCGCTGTAGGTTGAAGATAGGCTTAGTGTGTGTATGTGTAATACAGGGGAGCGTGTGGGATATCCAGGGTGATCCAGAGTTGAGTATGTGCGAACAGTGGTATTGGACACAGTGACGAGAGTTGGGATGTACAGGCGCTGATGCGCCATAGCCTGATGAAGCGAGTTTGCATCTGAACTGTGTTCTTGGTTTCCATATCTCTGAGCTTTGAGTGGGCGCTTGGCGCCAGTGTGAATTGCTATCTGTTTGCATGCATGCGAAGTGAAGAAGAAAGCGAGTCTGATTGCAGAGACAAGGTGGCACTCACAGCCGCATGCTGCTCTCAGGGCATACTCACAGTAGGACTTTTCCGACTGAGCTCTGGATGTGATTGCTGTCAGATACATCCATGCGTGGTCGTAATTTGACTCAGTTGATTGAGGAAAGTACTCACATGAGTGTGCCCTCAGAGGAAGAAAGAACAAACTGCGTGCAGGATAAAAATTCACACAATATTGTCAGGGCAACGCCGGTGCCCTTGGGGAAAAAAAGGAATGTGTTATGATGCTACTACATCCAGAATATAAAACTCAATTGGGAGAAAAAGCAAGACTTTCTGAACTTACAAGAGGGAGTGAAGAGAGGATAGAAGAAGAAGAAGAATTACGCAATTTGAAACCAATGGTTTCCCCCTCATGTCTTCTCCCGTCCTCCTCTTGAAACAGTCAATCAATTAACTAAACACAACAAGAAATGAATGAACGAACAGGAACCATGTCCAAGCATTCCCCCTCGCTGCCAGTACTTGAAGGGCCCTCCTTTCAGCCTCAACCTCACTCTTCTTCTTGCACTTGCATCGCCAGCTATGGTGGGTCATCCATGCTCTTCATGGTGTTCAGAGGACAACACAACTATGACTTTACCTCTCTCGTCTCATCCCGCCATAGCCACACTCTCAGATGAAGTCCAAGATCAGCCAGCACTCACATAGAGGCCTTCTAGGTGCAGCACCGACCAAGTGGAGGTCCGCCATAGCCAAAGGTGAGTCTCTCATGTCGGTTCCTCTGTCTTGCTCCCCTTCTCGTCCTCTACACCCTTCTACTACCCTTCTCCATAGCCTGGCATGAGGCACTTCACCCTCTACCTCCATAGCCTGGCATGAGGCGCTTAAAGTAGCGGACTCTACCTACAAGAGAGAATTGTACGCTCTTTATGTGGCCCTACAGACTTGGCAACATTATCTAGTAGGGAGGCTCATTTTAAAGTGTACTCGGATCACGAGACCCTACGCTGGTTGAAGACCCAATCCGTTATGTCTACTAAACTGCAGAAACGAGTTAGAATTACTGATCAATTTGACTTTTGAGTTGAAACCAGTAAAAGGAAAGTACAATGTTGTCGTCGTTGCAATAGAAGATTAAAGAGACTTATATGTTAGATCCCATTTATAGGGAGGTGATAACTAAGGTAAAGGAGAAGCCGCATGAATGGCCAGAATATAGGAGAGTTGACGAATTGCTTTTCTTCACAGCCAATGGACAAGACAATCTATGCATTCCATCCAGTGAAGAGATTAAGAGTATCATCTTGGGAGAAGCCCATGATATAAAGGGACATTTTGGGTGGAGGGACTCATGCTAGCTTACTACGCTCTTACGTGTGGCCCGGAACGAAATCAGACTGTATCACTTACGTACACGAATGTAGAGTTTGCCAAAGGAACAAGAATACGACTCGAGGACAGTACAATGTTGTCATTGTTGCAGTAGAAGATCAAAGAGGCTTTTGTGTTGGATCCCATTTATAGAGAGGTGATAGCTAAGTAAAGGAGAAGCTGCATGAATGGCCAGAATATAGGATAGCTGACGGATTGCTTGTCCTCACAGCCAATGGACGAGACAATCTATGCATTCCCTCTAGTGAGATTAAGTGTGAGATCTTGGGAGAAGCCCAGGGACATTTTGGCTCGACAAATACTTAAACTAACTTACTATGCTCTTACGTGTGGCCTGGAACGAAATCAGACTGTATTGCCTACCTACACAAGTGTAGAAGTTTGCCAAAGGAACAAGAATACGACTCAAAGGAAAATACAATGGTGTCGTTGCTGCAGCAGATTCAAGAGGCTTATGTGTTAGATCCCATTTATAGAGAGGTGATAGCTAAGGTAGAGGAGAAGCCGCATGAATGGCCAGAACCCTCTAGTGAAGAGATTAAGAGTATCATCTTGGGAGAAGCCCATGATACAGAGGGAGATTTTGGCTGGAGAAAGACTGATGCTAGCTTACTACGCTCTTAAGAGTGGCCTGGAATCATATCAGACAATCACTTACATACACAAGTGTAGAGTTTAGTAAAGGAGCAAGAATACGACTCAAGCCCTTGGAAAATATTTACAGGTGTCTGATAATTCAGGTGCAAAAATCATGCAGTGTTTCAAAATCCTGCATCCTTTCAAAAAACAAAGAGCTATTATAGGTGATACCATAATAGTGTCTCTGAAATAAACATGAATGGGTAGCAACACTCAGAATGTACATAAAGCTATTGTAGTGGAAACAAAAAAAGCCACCAAATACCGAAAAGATGGCATACCTTTCTCGGCCTTTTGGCTAAGATCAAGTGTAGTATCTGTTCTGATCAGTTTAATATGTGATTCGTGGTCCATCTGCCAAAAAAAAAAAAAAAGATGGATGATAGTCTACTCTCCATTGTGAACTCGCTTTGGCACAGCATGTTGCTCCGGTTCATCACTTCTCTATCTTGCAAATGAAACCACCCATCTTCCGATCGATGTACCTTGTCATCATCCTGCATAACCACCCATGCATGTACCTTCTGAACAACTCAACGTGCTCACAGCAGCCAATCAACTCAAACTTCACAGTTCACATGCCAAGGAGGGAGAGGCAGGATTCGAACCTACGTAGAAATATAACCTTCAACAGACTTACAGTCCGTTGCTTTTAACCACTCGTCCACTCCCCCGAAGAATTCAGCATCCTACAGGATTTGAACCTGTGCCCTTCAACTTAGAAGGTTGTTGCTCTATCCAGCTGAGCTAAGAATGCAACTCACCCAAAAGAGTCAACCCAGCCGCCACAACAAATCAAGCAGCTGGTTTTGTTTCAAGTAGGGACAACACTTCCACTCCTCCCTCTCCTGCCTGTCTCCCAACTCAATTTTGTATCATAGTCTGATCAAGCACATGCTTCACTAACACACCATGACTCAACTGCAGCAAACTGCCTCGAAGAACAACCCCCAATCCAGATGACTAGCCTCCACTCGACACTGACCGACTTCCTTCTGCCCTAGAAGGCTCGGTTCAATCCCACTACCTCTACCCAATACCCACAGCTGCAGCCAGCACAGGGGCACGAGTCCCTCATGGCAGTCAAGGAGTCAACCTGCCACATCTTCCAATCAGCGTTCAGGCAGCCCGGCACCCTCCCATCAGCGTTCCGGCAGCCCGGCACCCTCCCATCAGCGTTCAGGCAGCCCGGCACCCTCCCACCATTCTGTCTCCTGAACTGAACTGGTTGGCTTACACATCAGAAGACCAGCCAGTCGGCCGGTCCGTAGGTTCTGTCTCAAGGACTGGGCCCAGATAGAAACTTCAGTGGGCCAGTACTGCTGTATCTGTTAGCTTTCCAGGTAGGGTACACAAGTACCAAAAAGAAATGGGATGCTACCGGGTGACGGCCTACCAAACATGCCCCTGTCGAGGAAATTGCTAAAGTATCCCCGAGGTCAGTTCTGAATAATAGATTCCTGCACCTTTGAAAGAGAGCTGGCAACTCTCTGAATTCGAGGGGAAAGGTACAGGGAAGAAAGCCACGACGAACTATTGAACAAACGTTACAAGTACTGACCACACTTAGGGGACTGATGGAGAGGCCACTGCGCCGTCAATTCGAGGTTTGACGGTTAGCATCCCAAC